CAGGGGGCGAGCGCCGGGGCGGGCGGGCGGCAGAGCGGAAGGGCTCCCGTCCTGCCCTGGGCCCGGCAGCGCCCGCCGCGGCCTGTCAGGGTGCCAGGGAGGCCAGGGCGCTGTCATGAGGGAATTGGGTCAAGTGCAGTTGCCCTGCCTGTCACAATCTGGGCTAATCTCTGCCGAGGGGACGATGACAGGAGACGATGCCCCGCGCCGGGCCTGCCAGGAGCCGCCGTGCCAGCGCCGCCAGCCCTCCTGGCGCTAACAAGCCCTTCGCCTTCTGGAGGCTGCGAGGGCTGGGAAGCGCCTCGGCCCGTGCCCGCACAGCCCGGCATCTCCCTCCCTTCCCAGTATCCAGAAAGCTTCACTCCTTCTAATCCCTCTCTGAATTTTCAGCATCATCAGTGCCCGTCTTTGGTACCTGCCGCGTCTTCAAAAGACAGCCCAGCCGGGCTCTGGGACCCATGCTACCACGAGGTACGTCTACCTGAGGTTCACGGAGAACGGGTTTGGAAGGTGTCGGGAAACAGTGATGAATCGAGCACCGACTCGGCCCGCCAGCGCAGCAGAGTTTGCGTAGCGTTGGTCTTTGGATAAAGCAGGAGAAGCAAAACCAGTGATATTATTACCTGTTCGTGCACATGCAGCAGCTGGAATTCAGTAATAATGCCTTCTTACCTGTGAATACACACTCACAAATTCAGCCACACCAATTCTATAAGCTCCTTTGCACTTCACATTGCAAATACGAGTGCCGATGCTGTAGTCCAGGGCCTGCGTCCAAATGAACAGTCGGTGCCTTCTTTTCATGCTCAGCCTGGATCAGGCTCTGTTAACACAGCAGCTACTCATTTGAAATAGAGCAAATGATTTGTTTGTTTTTTTTTAACTACAGACTTGGTGAAGTTTCCGTACTTGTCTGCATCTGAGTACCTCGCTTGCAAACCGGTTCAAGAGACGGCCTTCCGGTGTTACCTGGAGAACATATAAGGAGGAAAGGTGGTCTTGCAGTTCTAGTCAAGGGGTGGGGGATTTTTTGTTTTTTACTTGGGAAAATGGAAAAATGTCACCTGTCCAAACCCAAGTGTGTCATAGGAGTCAGCTGTTTTTCACTAAAAAGGATCCCGAGGTCCAAGATAGTTTCAGGACCCTTCCCGGGGTCAGGACAGGTAGCAAATGTGGTCCCTATCTTCAAGAAGGGGAAGAGGGAGGACCCGGGCAACTATAGGCCCGTCAGTCTTACCTCAATCCTGGGGAAACTCTTTGAGAAGATCATCAAGGAGCACATTTGTGATGGGCCGGCATCAGAAATGATGCTCAGGGGCAATCAGCATGGATTTATTAGGGGGAGATCATGTCAGACCAACCTGATTGCCTTCTACGATCAGGTCACAAAGGCCATGGATGCAGGTGTCGCGGTGGATGTAGTCTTTCTGGACTTCAGCAAGGCCTTTGACACCGTCTCTCACCCCATCCTAGTTAAAAAACTAGGTGACTGTGGCATCGATGCCTACACAGTCAGATGGATTGCAGATTGGCTGAGGGGTCGCACTCAGAGGGTGGTGGTGGATGGGTCATATTCGACCTGGGGGGAGGTGGGTAGCGGAGTCCCCCAGGGCTCGGTCCTGGGGCCTGCGCTGTTCAATTTCTTCATCAGCGATCTGGATGATGGGGTGGAAAGTAACCTGTTTAAATTCGCTGATGACACCAAAATCTGGGGGGAGGTGAGCACGCTAGCAGGGAGGGAGAGATTGCAGAGGGATCTGGATAGGTTACAGGGGTGGGCTAACAGGAACAGGATGCGTTTTAACACGGACAAGTGCAGGGTGCTGCACTTGGGCAGTAGGAACCAGCAGCACACTTACACAATGGGGAACTCCTTACTCGAGAGCACGGAGGCAGAAAGGGATCTTGGAGTCATTATTGACTCCAAGATGAACATGGGCCGACAATGCGAGGTCATGGTTGGCAGGGCTAACCGGACCTTGTCGTGCATCCACAGGTGCATCTCGAGTAGAGCCAAGGAGGTGATCCTCCCCCTCTACGCGACGCTGGTCAGGCCACAGCTGGAGTATTGTGTCCAGTTCTGTGCGCCCCATTTCAAGAGGGATGTGGACAACATGGAGAGGGTCCAGAGGAGGGCCACCCGCATGATCCGGGGACAACAGGGCAGACCCTACAGTGAGAGACTGCGGGACCTGAACCTATTCAGCCTCCACAAGAGAAGGCTAAGGGGGGACCTGGTGACTGTCTATAGACTCACTAGGGGGGACCAGAAGGGTTTGGGGGAGACGCTGTTTCCCCTAGCGCCCGCTGGCATAACAAGGAGTAATGGGCACAAGCTGATGGAGAGGAGGTATAGATTGGACATCCGCAAAAACTACTTCACGGTTAGGGCGGCTAGGAGCTGGAACCAACTTCCAAGGGAAGTGGTGCTGGCCCCTACCCTGGGGGTCTTTAAGAAGAGGCTGGATGCCTACCTGGCTGGACTCATTTGAGTCCCGTTTCTTGTTTTGGGGTTTTGTTGTTCTCCCGCCCTGGCGGGGGGTCAGGCTAGAAGATCTACTAGGTCCCTTCCGACCCTAAATCTATGAAACTATGAAACTATGACAGTTCCTTGGGACGTGGGACCCCCACGTTCACTCTCCGAATCAGCTAGAGCAGCAGTTTGCACCCGGTGTCCCACAGCCAGGATGCCTTCCTTGCCCTCCTTGGCCCCCTGCGGTCACACAGGAAAAGTTTCACAAAAACATCAAGGCTTCTCATGACGCGAAATTCGTGTTTCTCAGCCAAGGCAAGGGTTACAATGGGGATGCACAAGACCAGAGTTCAGGGATTTTCTGAGCAAGTCCCTTTAAACCTCCCTGTGCCTCAATTCCCCACTTGTAAATAGGGTTGATAAAGCTTCCCTTTTACTGCCTTGATTCTTCAGATTGTAAACTGAGGTCTGGAGTATTGCTCCATCTATAAAAACTCCTGCCACTGAACTCCGATCAAGCCCAGGAGGAGGCTCTGGGTGCAACTGTAATACCAACATTATTTTAAAATATAAGGGACACCTATGTAGGTAAGAAGATATATTGCTTTCAAACATGAGGTCCCTTCCAGCCCTTAATTTTTCTTTCTATGATTCTGCTTCTTGCTGTATACCAGGACGCGAAGGGAAACACTTAATTCTTCAGGTCAAAATCATACTGCAGTCCCAGTTACCTTGCTCATTTCCGATTTAATGTAATCAAAATCTGGTTGCGTTTACAGCTTACAAATCAGATGCAAATCATCCACATCACTGGAATCACACCAGTGTGAAAGGAGTGAGAGATCAAAATCAGATGCGGTGTTGCCTCCCCAACCCTTGCAGTTCTTGAATGGAAAACCTAGAACACAAAAAAAGAAATAATGCTAAAAATCCAATCATCTGACACATCCTGTAAGCTAATAAGAGCACATGAATGAAGCAGGCTTAGTCCTTCACAGTAATTAATTTGACAGCAGGAGCTAAGGTGAGAACAACAGACCCAGCAGTATTGGCTGGTGCAGAGAGGCCACTGTCAAATGTAATATATATAAATATTTTTTAACAGGGCCCATTTCACACTTGCAAGAGTTGAAGGTTGCAAATACAGTCCCTCCCCCACCGAAAACTCATTGTCCTGGTGGGAAAGAAATGCAAAGCAGGAAAAAAAAATGTCTCTCCGATGGAGATGACAACATTTAAAAGGTAATTCAAAGGCAAAACAGGTAAAGATTTTTCAGAAAGGTGTGATTTTTTTTTTTCCTAAACCAGCAGTCTCTCAGTGTCAGTCAGTGAAACATTTCCTTTTGGTTAGGTCGGATGCATATTTTTAATACTGGAAAGGCCTGTGTTATCTGGGAATTGCCTGTCATACATAATCAATATTATCATGGAAAGTATGAAGAGCAAGAGGGAATCTTGAATGCTGGCACCAAAACAATCACCGTGCTCTGACTTACTTTCCAGATAAGGAAGTAATTGAATCTTGGCTGTTCACAGATACACCGTTAAAGAAAACCCTGCAGGGGAGGCAATTGGGGTTTAGAAAGAAGTGCCATCAGACTCCTACTCCCACTCCGAAAGCGCAGCCGACCAATCGATTCATAAAGCTCTGTTCATTTTAAATTCTCAGTTTTCAGCACTTTCCCTTGGACATAAACCTGTTGCGTGCGCACACGGAAGCCGAACGATCAGCAGGACGGTTTCTTCACACTTTTCGCCCCCCTCTCTCCCTGCTATTTGTTCTGAACTAATCTGAGCAAGGCTAAATTTTCACACACTCCCTCTCAAGCTAGCTTGCATTCATCTCCTTCAGGGTCATGCTTTCCCAGACGTGAAATGCAGAAAAAAAAAGAAAAAAAAAACAAAAAGGGAAAAAGGATGGGATTTCTGCTGGATGGGTACGTTTATATCTAAGAACACCAATTGCGAGAGGGCAAAGCATGTTGTTGTAACGCCAGACACTTTCTCCCCAGAGATCAATATTCACAACCAGAATACAATTTCCTATGAGTGCTGTTAATGCTGTATTGGGCTGAATCCAACCCATAGTAGGATGGGCTGGATCCTCAGCTGGTGCTGGTCAGCATAGCTGCCACGTCTGTGGCATCACATGGCTTCCCCCCTATTTTCATAACCTACATATTAGTTTATGGGCATTTTTCTGAGGTTGTGGGAAACTTAAAAATAAAAATATCACGCTTTTTTTTTTTTTAGTGGCCAATTATTAACTGCAGCCCATGACCTCTCTGAGCCAGCAGGAAGCTCAGGGAGCTGTGCAGAAAACACTGCTACAGGCCAGCGACTTTGACATCGCTCTTCGACAAAATCACAGTAATTTACCCCCACCTAAGATCTGCCCCGCATATTCCCGCAGCACCTCTGAAACAGACTCAAACCGCTGACGATACGAGCCGATTCTGTCCATACCAATTGTACAGACGGCTGACGTGATGCTTTCCAACTTTCACGGGCCTTGTCTGCACTCAAGAGGAAAGGGGTGGGTGTGGGGACGGTGCAGGCACCGCAGCAGGGGGTACAGACAGCAGGGCTTGTGGGGGCAGGTGCTAGGGGTGGTAGGCACTGCAGGGGGGGCAGGCAGCAGAGATCAGGTAAGGTTCAGGAGTCAGGCTTCTGGATCCTCCCCACTCCCTTGCCTCCCTTCCCCTGTTTTCCCTGCTGCAGTGGTGGGGAGCAATGAATTTGAGACAGCCCCCCCAGTAGATTCAATGCATGGAAAATTATGACAAATGTATACATTTCCCATGGATAGAATTATTGGGGGGTCATCTTAAATTCAGGGCGGTCTTGGATTTGGGTGAATACAGTAAATGCAAAGAGGAGGAGAAGGGGTTTCAAAAGCATCTAGGGCAATGGCTCTCAACCTTTTTAGACTCAAGGTGCCCCTCACTAGATGCGAGGCACCCCCTCAGGTGCCACTCAGAAAATGCCAGCTCTTTGTTTTCCCTCATTTTTTGACTACAGAAAAATAATAGGGCAGTTGCACTCCCCCTCTCCCTCCACCCCTGCTTCGATTCCTGCTCCACCCAAATTTAAAACCAGCTGCCTGGCAGTGGCAGCAGCATTTCTGGTTGGGCACAAGTGGGGGTGGGGGGGGGTCAATTGACTTCATGGTTCATTAAAATCTACCTGATCCCTGCTAAACCCTTCATACTGCAGAAAGACCACAAGGAGTTCAAATGGTTTTAACATTCTGGGCTCCTTTTTGAAATCCCTGGTTTTATTTTGTGAATCATCTTTGCACACCTACCAGGGCTAACATTGTGTGGTACCCTTGAAAAGCTCTCAAGGCACCCTGGTTGAGAATCACTGGTCTCAGGTTATGTTGATAAAGCACCCCAATGAAACATGCTGTGCAACAGGTCTCAGCACAGCCTGGTGTTGTGCAACATGAAAGTACCCTTAATCCCACTGCAAATCTAACCCTAAATAGCCTGGAAGCCTCCTGAGCTGTCAAAGGTTCTCTCATTACCTCTTTGTCAGATTGACGCCAATTTACCCCAAGAAGCTCTTCACTGGGACACAGCAGCTCACAGAGGTTTCCTGAGGTCCCTTGGACATTGAAAGAGATTTGTCCCCTTGGAGCACAGTCAAGAAGCTTAAAAATCAGCTGCAGAAGACAGCCATTAAAGAAACGAAAGGGAAAGAAGTGGGTGCTTTGAAAAACAGGACAACCTGGAAAGCAGGACCAAAGAATACATTAATTCAGAGGGTTAGTGAATTGCAAAAATGTTATTGCTCTGCAGCAAGTACTCCCTGGTCAGGCCAGAATTCCAGGTCCTTCTTGTTAACTTCTGGATCCTGCACAGTCATCGCTTCGCAGGATGCCCAGTGACTTACACAGAGGCTTGGATTAAGGAAGTGTAGGGCTCTGTCTCTTGAAGACTCAAGTTCAGTCATGCAGAAGCAGTTGTCAAGCACTTCACAAGTGCAGAACAAAGCAGATGTCAAGCACTTTACCTCAGAGTGGTTCCTGAACACCACACGCACCGCAGCAGCATTTAGCAGGAGACTAGGCTCAGTGATCTGACCGGATCTCTCAACATCTTGCATTGGTCTCCTCCAGACCATCTCCAGACAGCTACAATTACCATGTTCAAGTAGCAAGCATTTCAACGTCCTCTCCGTTTTTGTGGATGAGCTAGAAGCACAAGCAATTTTCCATCCACTTGTTTCCTAGCATGGCCTATGTTTTTAATTTTTAATTTTTTTTTTTTGCAGGACAAGTTTGCAGTCTACAGTCATATAACAACTACTGATGCCCCTGTTATCTGGGCTACATACAGACTGTAGCACCAGATCCTAAGAAGTCAGCTGGGCCTGGGTGTAGGGGGCGGAGGGTGACGAGAGATAACATATGAAGCTGTGCAGGCTGTATGATAAAAATGAGCATTTTAAAGAACATGGCATGCGTATCAATATGGGTTCACAGAAAACGCTTCATAGGGAGCAAGTTGAAGGGAGATTAACTGCTTTTAAGAACTAAATATACGAGCAAAACACTGCACATTTTAATTTAAACACTGCTTCCTGAGAGGACACATGAAGACCCAACCAATATATTTCAACTGTATTATGGCTGATGTATGTTACAACCAAGGAAAAACAAAAGGAGGTCAGATTGCTGATCATTAATTGTCCCAGAGGAAAAGGAGGAGACCAGGGAGTAGACACAGGATAAAAAGCTGCTCCTCTGGTTTTCAAATCCAGCTCAGAAGGAACTGAGCATCGTTATCTGCTCTGCAATGACCTGAAGGAAATGGGGTTAGTGGGTCCAGTCCAGCTCCTGATAGACGGATGTCAAATACTGGCACCTACCCTCCCCAGACAGCACTTAACAGGCCATGAAGAATAGAGTCCTCTCCTTCCGGATGTAGATGCAGCTCCTGCCAGTGATCCCCCTACTCCATGGCCAGATGTGTTCCCCACCCAGGCGTAGATCCAGGGGGATGCATTGGTGCAGTTGCACTCCCCCTCTTTCCTCACCCTTGCTTTGACTCCTGCTCCACCCAAATTTAAAACCAACTGCCTGGCAGTGGCGGCAGCATTTCTGGTCGGGCAGTAGTAAGGGGGTCAATTGACTTCACAGTTCATTAAAATCTACCTGATCCCTACTAAACTCTTCATACTACAGTGTTAATGACCCTCTGTCCTTTCGGTCTTGCTGTTCCACAAATCAAACTGGCCTTTCTTCTGCAATACTGCTATGTGAGCTGCTCCTGGTAATATAGCTCCTATTTCACAGTCTCGCAGTCTGTTGTTAATTCACTCCAATGAAGCTAGGTTTGTTTTTGCATCAATTGTAAACTGAAAGATACAGCCCTAGGTGCCTAGTATGTTAGTAAAGCTTTTACTTTCTTTTTACCTAAAGAAAAATGAGTATTGTTATATATGATTCCACCATTCACCATGTGCACCCCTTTTCAAATCCTAGATCCACACATACCACAGTCCCACACTAAGCTTCTGAAGTCTTAATTTTGCCATTCACTTTGGGTCAATTAATACTGAATATAAAACTCAATCTGTAAAATGCTTTGAAACCTATGGATGAAAAGTGCTACATAAGAGCTAGGTATCCAGGTTGTAGCTGTATTGGCCTAGAGGAAAAGGCAAGAGCTAGGCATTGCTAGTATTTGCTCACACAAATTCCCACATCACTTTTCCCTCTCCAGCTCCGGAAGGATTTTTGACAGAGGCTTTTCAGTACCCCAAGGCAGCAGTTCTACCACAATATATTCTATTATTTATTATTGGAGATGGGTGTATAGATAGAGAGAGACCCAAGCAGATGTTCTTGGTCAGTATGGGGAAGAATCAGTCATTTTGTGGGTACAGAGA